ACTTGGGCCTGATTAGAACTTGTATGGGAGACCAAATAGGGACCTCAGGTGCTGTAAGCTTTTGTTTATTTCTTTTTTAGATTATGATGTCATAATCAGAACACTTTTTTCCCTAGTCAGAAGCGTCTTGTCTTTTGTCGCAACCAGTGTTTGATATTATACCAACATCAGCGATATCAATTTATGCAAATTTCGCCTACGGTCATACCAGTCTGAAAGTGCCTGATCTCGTCAGATCTCAGAAGTCATGCAGACTTGGGCCTGCTTAGTACTTGTATGGGAGACCACCTAGGAACCTCAGGTGCCGTAAGCTTTTGTTTATTTCTTTTTTTAGATTATGATGTCATAATCAGATCACTTTTTTCCCTAGTCAGAAGCGTCTTGTCTTTTGTCGCAACCAGTGTTTGATATTATACCAACATCAGCGATATCAATTTATGCAAATTTCGCCTACAGTCATACCAGTCTGAAAGTGCCTGATCTCGTCAGATCTCAGAAGTCATGCAGACTTCGGCCTGCTTAGTACTTGTATGGGAGACCAACTAGGAACCTCAGGTGCCGTAAGCTTTTGTTTATTTCTTTTTTAGATTATGATGTCATAATCAGATCACTTTTTTCCCTTGTCAGAAGAGTCTTGTCTTTTGTCGCAACCAGTGTTTGATATTATACCAACTTCAGCAAGATCACTTTCTGCTAATTTCGCCTACGGCCCTACCAGTCTGAAAGTGCCTGATCTCGTCAGATATCAAAAGTCATGCAGACTTGTGCCTACTTAGTACTTGTATGGGAGAACAACTAGGAACCTCAGGTGCCGTAAGCTTTTGTTTATTTATTTTTTAGATTATGATGTCATAATCAGATCACTTTTTTCCCTAGTCAGAAGCGTCTTGTCTTTTGTCGCAACCAGTGTTTGATATTATACCAACATCAGCGAGATCACTTTCTGCTAATTTCGCCTACGGCCATACCAGTCTGAAAGTGCCTGATCTCGTCAGATCTCCGAAGTCATGCAGATTTGGTCCTGATTAGTACTTGTATGGGAGACCAACTAGGAACCTCAGGTGCCGTAAGCTTTTGTTTATTTCTTTTTTAGATTATGATGTCATAATCAGATCACTTTTTTCCCTAGTCAGAAGCGTCTTGTCTTTTGTCGCAACCAGTGTTTGATATTATACCAACATCAGCGAGATCACTTTCTGCTAATTTAACCTACGGCCATACCAGTCTGAAAGTGCCTGATCTCGTCAGATCTCAGAAGTTATGCAGACTTGGGCTTGATTAGTACTTGTATGGGAGACCAACTAGGAACCTCAGGTGCTGTAAGCTTTTGTTTATTTATTTTTTAGATTATGATGTCATAATCAGATCACTTTTTTCCCTAGTCAGAAGTGTCTTGTCTTTTGTCGCAACCAGTGTTTGATATTATACAAACATCAGCGAGATCACTTTCTGCTAATTTTGCCTACGGCCATACCAGTCTGAAAGTGCCTGATCTCGTCAGATCTCAGAAGTTATGCAGACTTGGGCCTGATTAGTACTTGTATGGGAGACCAACTAGGGACCTCAGGTGCTGTAAGCTTTTGTTTATTTCTTTTTTAGATTATGATGTCATAATCAGATCACTTTTTTCCCTAGTCAGAAGCGTCTTGTCTTTTGTCGCAACCAGTGTTTGATATTATACCAACATCAGCGAGATCACTTTCTGCTAATTTTGCCTACGGCCATACCAGTCTGAAAGCGCCTGATCTCGTCAGATCTCAGAAGTTATTCAGACTTGGGCCTGATTAGTACATGTATGGGAGACCAACTAGGAACCTCAGGTGCCGTAAGCTTTTGTTTATTTTTTTTTTAGATTACGATGTCATAATCAGATCACTTTTTCCCTAGTCAGAAGCGTCTTGTCTTTTGTCGCAACCAGTGTTTGATATTATACCAACATCAGCGATATCAATTTATGCAAATTTCGCCTACGGTCATACCAGTCTGAAAGTGCCTGATCTCGTCAGATCTCAGAAGTCATGCAGACTTGGGCCTGCTTAGTACTTGTATGGGAGACCAACTAGGAACCTCAGGTGCCGTAAGCTTTTGTTTATTTCTTTTTTTAGATTATGATGTCATAATCAGATCACTTTTTTCCCTAGTCAGAAGCGTCTTGTCTTTTGTCGCATCCAGTGTTTGATAGTATACCAACATCAGCGAGATCACTTTCTGCTAATTTCGCCTACAGTCATACCTGTCTGAAAGTTCCTGATCTCGTCAGATATCAGAAGTCATGCAGACTTGGACCTGTTTAGTGCTTGTATGGTAGACCAACTAGGAACCTCAGGTGCCGTAAGCTTTTGTTTATTTATTTCTTAGATTATGATGTCATAATCAGATCACTTTTTTCCCTAGTCAGAAGCGTCTTGTCTTTTGTCGCAACCAGTGTTTGATATTATACCAACATCAGCGAGATCAATTTCTACTAATTTTGCCTATGGCCATACCAGTCTGAAAGTGCCTGATCTCGTCAGATCTCAGAAGTCGTGCAGACTTGGGCCTACTTAGTACTTGTATGGGAGAACAGCTAGGAACCTCAGGTGCCGTAAGCTTTTGTTTATTTCTTTTTTAGATTATGATGTCATAATCAGAACACTTTTTTCCCTAGTCAGAAGCGTCTTGTCTTTTGTCGCAACCAGTGTTTGATATTATACCAACATCAGCGATATCACTTTTTGCTAATTTCGTCTACGGCCATACCAGTCTGAAAGACCCTGATCTCGTCAGATCTCAGAAGTCATGCAGACTTGGGCCTGTTTAGTACTTGTATGGGAGACCAACTAGGAACCTCAGGTGCCGTAAGCTTTTGTTTATTTCTTTTTTAGATTATGATGTCATAATCAGATCACTTTTTCCCTAGTCAGAAGCCTTTTGTCTTTTGTCGCAACCAGTGTTTGATATTATACCAACATCAGCGATATCACTTTCTGCTAATTTCGGCTACGGCCATACCGGTCTGAAAGTGCCTGATCTCGTCAGATCTCAGAAGTCATGCAGAATTGGGCCTGCTTAGTACTTGTATGGGAGATCAACTAGGAACCTCAGGTGCCGTAAGCTTTTGTTTATTTCTTTTTTAGATTATGATGTCATAATCAGATCACTTTTTTCCCTAGTCAGAAGCGTCTTGTCTTTTGTCGCAACCAGTGTTTGATATTATACCAACATCAGCGAGAACACCTTCTGCTAATATTGCCTACGGCCATACAAGTCTGAAAGTGCCTGATCTCGTCAGATCTTAGAAGTCATACAGACTTGGGCTTGCTTAGTACTTGTATGGGAGACTAACTAGGAACCTCAGGTGCCGTAAGCTTTTGTTTATTTCTTTTTTAGATTATGATGTCATAATCAGATCACTTTTTTCCCTAGTCAGAAGCGTCTTGTCTTTTGTCGCAACCAGTGTTTGACATTATACAAACATCAGCGAGATCACTTTCTGCTAATTTCGCCTACGGCCATACCAGTCTGAAAGTGCCTGATCTCGTCAGATCTCAGAAGTTATACAGACTTGGGCCTGATTAGTACTTGTATGGGAGACCAACTAGGAGCCTCAGGTGCTGTAAGCTTTTGTTTATTTCTTTTTTAGATTATGATGTCATAATCAGATCACTTTTTCCCTAGTCAGAAGCGTCTTGTCTTTTGTCGCAACCAGTGTTTGATATTATACCAACATCAGCGATATCACTTTTTGCAAATTTCACCTACGGCCATTCCAGTCTGAAAGTGCCTGATGTCGTCAGATATCAGAAGTCATGCAGACTTGGGCCTACTTAGTACTTGTATGGGAGAACAACTAGGAACCTCAGGTGCCGTAAGCTTTTGTTTATTTATTTTTTAGATTATGATGTCATAATCAGATCACTTTTTTCCCTAGTCAGAAGCGTCTTGACTTTTGTCGCAACCAGTGTTTGATATTATACCAACATCAGCGAGATCACTTTCTGTTAATTTTGCCTACGTTCATACCAGTCTGAAAGTGCCTGATCTCGTCAGATCTCCGAAGTCATGCAGATTTGGGCCTGATTAGTACTTGTATGGGAGACCATCTAGGATCCTCAGGTGCCGTAAGCTTTTGTTTATTTCTTTTTTAGATTATGATGTCATAATCAGATCACTTTTTTCCCTAGTCAGAAGTGTCTTGTCTTTTGTCGCAACCAGTGTTTGATATTATACAAACATCAGCGAGATCACTTTCTGTTAATTTTGCCTACGGCCATACCAGTCTGAAAGTGCCTGATCTCGTCAGATCTCAGAAGTCATGCAGACTTGAGCCTTCTTAGTACTTGTATGGGAGACCAACTAGGAACCTCAGGTGCCGTAAGTTTTTGTTTATTTCTTTTTTAGATTATGATGTCATAATCAGATCACTTTTTTCCCTAGTCAGAAGCGTCTTGTCTTTTGTCGCAACCAGTGTTTGATATTATACCAACATCCGCGAGATCACTTTCTTTTAATTTTGCCTATGGCCATACCAGTCTGAAAGTGCCTGATCTCGTCAGATCTCAGAAGTCAAGCAGACTTGGGCCTGCTTAGTACTTGTATGGGAGATCAACTAGGAACCTCAGGTGCCGTAAGCTTTTGTTTATTTCTTTTTTAGATTATGATGTCATAATCAGATCACTTTTTTCCCTAGTCAGAAGCGTCTTGTCTTTTGTCGCAACCAGTGTTTGATATTATACAAACATCAGCGAGATCACTTTCTGCTAATTTTGCCTACGGCCATACCAGTCTGAAAGTGCCTGATCTCGTCAGATCTCAGAAGTCATGCAGACTTGGGCCTGCTTAGTACTTGTATGGGAGACCAACTAGGAACCTCAGGTGCCGTAAGCTTTTGTTTATTTATTTTTTAGATTATGATGTCATAATCAGATCACTTTTTTCCCTAGTCAGAAGCGTCTTGTCTTTTGTCGCAACCAGTGTTTGATATTATACCAACATCAGCGAGATCACTTTCTGCTAATTTCGCCTACGGCCATACTAGTCTGAAAGTGCCTGATCTCGTCAGATCTCAGAAGTCATGGAGACTTGTGCCTGCTTTGTACTTGTATGGGGAGACCAACTAGCAATCTCAGGTGCCGTAAGCTTTTGTTTATTTCTTTTTTAGATTATGATGTCATAATCAGATCACTTTTTTCCCTAGTCAGAAGCGTCTTGTCTTTTGTCGCAACCAGTGTTTGATATTATACCAACATCAGCGATATCACTTTTTGCAAATTTCGCCTACGGCCCTACCAGTCTGAAAGTGCCTGATCTCGTCAGATATCAAAAGTCATGCAGACTTGGGCCTACTTAGTACTTGTATGGGAGAACAACTAGGAACCTCAGGTGCCGTAAGCTTTTGCTTATTTATTTTTTAGATTATGATGTCATAATCAGATCACTTTTTTCCCTAGTCAGAAGCGTCTTGACTTTTGTCGCAACCAGTGTTTGATATTATACCAACATCAGCGAGATCACTTTCTGCTAATTTTGCCTACGTTCATACCAGTCTGAAAGTGCCTGATCTCGTCAGATCTCCGAAGTCATGCAGATTTGGTCCTGATTAGTACTTGTATGGGAGACCAACTAGGAACCTCAGGTGCCGTAAGCTTTTGTTTATTTCTTTTTTAGATTATGATGTCATAATCAGATCACTTTTTTCCCTAGTCAGAAGCGTCTTGTCTTTTGTCGCAACCAGTGTTTGATATTAAACAAACATCATCGAGATCACTTTCTGCTATTTTCGAATACAGCCATACCAGTCTGAAAGTGCCTGATCTCGTCAGATCTCAGAAGTTATGCAGACTTGGGCCTGATTAGTACTTGTATGGGAGACCAACTAGGAACCTCAGGTGCCGTAAGCTTTTGTTTATTTCTTTTTTAGATTATGATGTCATAATCAGGTCACTTTTTTCCCTAGTCAGAAGCGTCTTGTCTTTTGTCGCAACCAGTGTTTGATATTATACCAACATCAGCGAGATCACTTTCTGCTAATTTCGCCTACGGCCATACCTGTCTGAAAGTGCCTGATCTCGTCAGATCTCAGAAGTCATGTAGACTTGGACCTGTTTAGTACTTGTATGGGAGACCAACTAGGAACCTCAGCTGCCGTAAGCTTTTGTTTATTTCTTTTTTAGATTATGATGTCATAATCAGATCACTTTTTCCCTAGTCAGAAGCGTCTTGTCTTTTGTCGCAACCAGTGTTTGATATTATACCAACATCAGCGATATCACTTTTTGCAAATTTCACCTACGGCCATTCCAGTCTGAAAGTGCCTGATGTCGTCAGATATCAGAAGTCATGCAGACTTGGGCCTACTTAGTACTTGTATGGGAGAACAACTAGGAACCTCAGGTGCCGTAAGCTTTTGTTTATTTATTTTTTAGATTATGATGTCATAATCAGATCACTTTTTTCCCTAGTCAGAAGCGTCTTGACTTTTGTCGCAACCAGTGTTTGATATTATACCAACATCAGCGAGATCACTTTCTGTTAATTTTGCCTACGTTCATACCAGTCTGAAAGTGCCTGATCTCGTCAGTTCTCCGAAGTCATGCAGATTTGGGCCTGATTAGTACTTGTATGGGAGACCATCTAGGATCCTCAGGTGCCGTAAGCTTTTGTTTATTTCTTTTTTAGATTATGATGTCATAATCAGATCACTTTTTTCCCTTGTCAGAAGCGTCTTGTCCTTTGTCGCAACCAGTGTTTGATATTATACCAACTTCAGCGAGTTCACTTTCTGCTAATTTCGCCTACGGCCATACCAGTCTGATAGTGCCAGATCTCAGAAGTCATGCAGACTTGGGCCTGCTTAGTACTTGTATGGGAGACCAACTAGGAACCTCAGGTGCTGTAAGATTTTGTTTATTTATTTTTTAGATTATGATGTCATAATCAGATCACTTTTTTCCCTTGTCAGAAGTGTCTTGTCTTTTGTCGCAACCAGTGTTTGATATTATACAAACATCAGCGAGATCACTTTCTACTAATTTTGCCTACGGCCATACAAGTCTGAAAGTGCCAGATCTCAGAAGTCATGCAAACTTGGCCTGCTTAGTACTTGTATGGGAGACCAACTAGGAACCTCAGGTGCTGTAAGCTTTTGTTTATTTCTTTTTTAGATTATGATGTCATAATCAGAACACTTTTTTCCCTAGTCAGAAGCGTCTTGTCTTTTGTCGCAACCAGTGTTTGATATTATACCAACATCAGCGAGATCACTTTCTGCTAATTTCGCCTACGGCCATACCAGTCTGAAAGCGCCTGATCTCGTCAGATCTCAGAAGTTATTCAGACTTGGGCCTGATTAGTACATGTATGGGAGACCAACTAGGAACCTCAGGTGCCGTAAGCTTTTGTTTATTTTTTTTTTAGATTACGATGTCATAATCAGATCACTTTTTCCCTAGTCAGAAGCGTCTTGTCTTTTGTCGCAACCAGTGTTTGATATTATACCAACATCAGCGATATCAATTTATGCAAATTTCGCCTACGGTCATACCAGTCTGAAAGTGCCTGATCTCGTCAGATCTCAGAAGTAATGCAGACTTGGGCCTGCTTAGTACTTGTATGGGAGACCAACTAGGAACCTCAGGTGCCGTAAGCTTTTGTTTATTTCTTTTTTTAGATTATGATGTCATAATCAGATCACTTTTTTCCCTAGTCAGAAGCGTCTTGTCTTTTGTCGCATCCAGTGTTTGATAGTATACCAACATCAGCGAGATCACTTTCTGCTAATTTCGCCTACAGCCATACCTGTCTGAAAGTTCCTGATCTCGTCAGATATCAGAAGTCATGCAGACTTGGACCTTTTTAGTGCTTGTATGGTAGACCAACTAGGAACCTCAGGTGCCGTAAGTTTTTGTTTATTTCTTTTTTAGATTATGATGTCATAATCAGATCACTTTTTTCCCTAGTCAGAAGCGTCTTGTCTTTTGTCGCAACCAGTGTTTGATATTATACCAACATCAGCGAGATCACTTTCTACTAATTTCGCTTATGGCCATACCAGTCTGAAAGTGCCTGATCTCGTCAGATCTCAGAAGTCATGCAGACTTGGGCCTGCTTAGTACTTGTATGGGAGACCAACTAGGAACCTCAGGTGCCGTAAGCTTTTGTTTATTTCTTTTTTAGATTATGATGTCATAATCAGATCACTTTTTCCCTAGTCAGAAGCGTCTTGTCTTTTGTCGCAACCAGTGTTTGATATTATACCAACATCAGCGATATCACTTTTTGCTAATTTTCCCTACGGCCATACCAGTCTGAAAGAGCCTGATCTCGTCAGATCTCAGAAGTCATGCAGACTTGGGCCTGTTTAGTACTTGTATGGGAGACCAACTAGGAACCTCAGGTGCCGTAAACTTTTGTTTATTTCTTTTTTAGATTATGATGTCATAATCAGATCACTTTTTCCCTAGTCAGAAGCGTCTTGTCTTTTGTCGCAACCAGTGTTTGATATTATACAAACATCAGCGAGATCACTTTCTGCTAATTTCGCCTACGGCCATACCAGTCTGAAAGTGCCTGATCTACGTCAGATCTCTGAAGTCATGCAAATTGGGGCCTGCCCAGGTAACGTATACCAGGATCAACTTCTAGGAACCTCAGGTGCGTAAGCTTTTTGTTTATTTCTTTTTGGGTGTGATGGCTAGCAATCAGATCCTTTTCCTAGTCAAGGCGTCTTGTCTTTTGTCGCAACCAGTGTTTGATATTATACCAACATCAGCGAGATCACTTTCTGCTAATTTTGCCTATGGCCATACCAGTCTGAAAGTGCCTGATCTCGTCAGATCTCAGAAGTTATGCAGACTTGGGCCTGATTAGTACTTGTATGGGAGACCAACTAGGAACCTCAGGTGCCGTAAGCTTTTGTTTATTTCTTTTTTAGATTATGATGTCATAATCAGATCACTTTTTTCCCTAGTCAGAAGCGTCTTGTCTTTTGTCGCATCCAGTGTTTGATATTATACCAACATCAGCGAGATCACTTTCTGCTAATTTCGCCTACGGCCATACCTGTCTGAAAGTGCCTGATCTCGTCAGATCTCAGAAGTCATGCAGACTTGGACCTGTTTAGTACTTGTATGGGAGACCAACTAGGAACCTCAGGTGCCGTAAGCTTTTGTTTATTTATTTTTTAGATTATGATGTCATAATCAGATCACTTTTTCCCTAGTCAGAAGCGTCTTGTCTTTTGTCGCAACCAGTGTTTGATATTATACCAGCATCAGCGATATCACTTTTTGCAAATTTCGCCTACGGTCATACCAGTCTGAAAGTGCCTGATCTTGTCAGATCTCAGAAGTTATGCAGACTTGGGCCTGATTAGTACTTGTATGGGAGACCAACTAGGAACTTCAGGTGCCGTAAGCTTTTGTTTATTTCTTTTTTAGATTATGATGTCATAATCAGATCACTTTTTTCCCTAGTCAGAAGCGTCTTGTCTTTTGTCGCAACCAGTGTTTGATATTATACCAACATCAGCGAGTTCACTTTTTGCAAATTTTTCCTACGGCCAAACCAGTCTGAAAGTGCCTGATCTCATCAGATCTCAGAAGTCATGCAGACTTGGGCCTGTTTAGTACTTGTATGGGAGACCAAGTATGAACCTCAGGTCCCGTAACTTTTGCTTATTTATTTTTTAGATTATGATGTCATAATCAGATCACATTTTTTCCTAGTCAGAAGCGTCTTGTCTTTTGTCGCAACCAGTGTTTGATATTATACCAACATCAGCGAGATCGCTTTCTGATAATTTCGCCTACGGCCATACCTGTCTGAAAGTGTCTGATCTCGTCAGATCTCAGAAGTCATGCAGAGTTGGGCCTGCTTAGTACTTGTTTTGGAGTGTGATGGGCAATTGTAGGTATAATACACATTGCTACATTTTATTTCATTAAACTGCAACTGTTTCTTTAACTAATAACCTTTTACCTATTTACAGTACACAACATGTTTACTCCATCTTGTCTTAATTTAATGCAATAACAATTCAAGGCTTTGCCTATGTCATCCTAACGTCTAGTCCAAATAAAGTTTAAAGATGTCTAGGTTATGACATTAGACTTATTTTTTTATATATGATCTTCTCTTAACCCTAAGGTGTATGTCAACCTAATTTCTAGTCCAAATACAGATTAAAGATGTCTAGGTTATGACATTAGACTGATAACGGTGTTTTTCTTTTATTTTTATATATGAACTGCTTTTAACCCTAAGATGAATTAACCCATACATTACCAGTAGTAATTAGAAATGCTATACTATATATACATGCATGATCAATGCTAGGTAGAGACATACTGACCGACTCTGGAGGTGACATACTGAGAGATTACCTGTATAATCAGGAGGGTATGTTATACTAATTATATTGCAAGCATTTATTCATTTAATCTTATATACTCTGCTTTATGATATATTAATGGATCTTTATTCATGTATTCAATAAACTATATAAATGAGACAAAAGTTATTGCTTCCAACTCCTATTTTTATTGTATTCTCAATTATTTATGTATTTTAAATAGAGAAACTCTATACCGACTATACAATATTTTTGCTAAGATATCTGTATGGTTAGCCCTGCTAAATTCTAAGTTGTAAGACGTTATAGCAGTAAATTGGAGTACGAACAGTTACAGGAGACCAACTAGCAATCTCAGGTGCCGTAAGCTTTTGTTTATTTCTTTTTTAGATTATGATGTCATAATCAGATCACTTTTTTCCCTAGTCAGAAGCGTCTTGTCTTTTGTCGCAACCAGTGTTTGATATTATACCAACATCAGCGAGATCACTTTCTGCTTGTTTCACCTATGGCCATACGAGTCTGAAAGTGCCTGATCTCATCAGATCTCAGAAGTCATGCAGACTTGGGCTTGATTAGTACTTGTATGGGGGACCAACTAGGAACCTCAGGTGCCGTAAGCTTTTGTTTATTTCTTTTTTAGATTATGATGTCATAATCAGATCACTTTTTTCCCTAGTCAGAAGCGTCTTGTCTTTTGTCGCAACCAGTGGTTGATATTATACCAACATCAGCGAGATCACTTTCTACTAATTTTGCCTATGGCCATACCATTCTGAAAGTGCCTGATCTCGTCAGATCTCAGAAGTCATGCAGATTTGGGCCTGATTAGTACTTGTATGGGAGACCAACTAGGAACCTCAGGTGCCGTAAGCTTTTGTTTATTTCTTTTTTAGATTATGATGTCATAATCAGATCACTTTTTCCCTAGTCAGAAGCGTCTTGTCTTTTGTCGCAACCAGTGTTTGATATTATACCAACATCAGCGATATCACTTTTTACAAATTTCGCCTACTGGAATACCCGTCTGACGTTGCCTAATCTCGTCAGATCTCAGAAGTCATGCAGACTTGGGCCTGCTTAGTACTTGTATGGGAGACCAACTAAGAACCTCAGGTGCCGTAAGCTTTTGTTTATTTCTTTTTTAGATTATGATGTCCATAATCAGATCACTTTTTCCCCTAGTCAGAAGCGTCTTGTCTTTTGTCGCAACCAGTGTTTGATATTATACCAACATCAGCGAGATCACTTTCTGCTAATTTTGCCTACGGCCATACCAGTCTGAAAGTGCCTGATCTCGTCAGATCTCAGAAGTTATGCAGACTTGGGCTTGATTAGTACTTGTATGGGAGACCAACTAGGAACCTCAGGTGCCGTAAGCTTTTGTTTATTTCTTTTTTAGATTATGATGTCATAATCAGATCACTTTTTTCCCTAGTCAGAAGCGTCTTGTCTTTTGTCGCAACCAGTGTTTGATATTATACCAACATCAGCGAGATCACTTTCTGCTAATTTCGCCTATGGCCATACCAGTCTGAAAGTGCCTGATCTCGTCAGATCTCAGATGTTGTGCAGACTTGGGCCTGCTTAGTACTTGTATGGGAGACCAGCTAGGAACCTCAGGTGTCGTAAGCTTTTGTTTATTTCTTTTTTAGATTATGATGTCATAATCAGATCACTTTTTCCCTAGTCAGAAGCGTCTTGTCTTTTGTCGCAACCAGTGTTTGATATTATACCAACATCAGCGAGATCACTTTCTACTAATTTCGCCTATGGCCATACAAGTCTGAAAGTGCCTGATCTCATCAGATCTCAGAAGTCATGCAGATTTGGGCCTGTTTAGTACTTGTATGGGAGACCAACTAGGAACTTCAGGTGCCGTAAGCTTTTGTTTATTTCTTTTTTAGATTATGATGTCATAATCAGATCACTTTTTCCCTAGTCAGAAGCGTCTTGTCTTTTGTCGCAACCAGTGTTTGATATTATACCAACATCAGCGAGATCACTTTCTACTAATTTCACCTATGGCCATACCAGTCTGAAAGTTCCTGATTTCGTCATATCTCAGAAGTCATGCAGACTTGGGCCTGATTAGTACTTTTATGGGAGACCAACTAGGAACCTCAGGTGCCGTAAGCTTTTGTTTATTTCTTTTTTAGATTATGATGTCATAATCAGATCACTTTTTCCCTAGTCAGAAGCGTCTTGTCTTTTGTCGCAACCAGTGTTTGATACTATACCAACATCAGCGAGATCACTTTCTGCTAATTTTGTATATGGCCATACCAGTCTGAAAGTGCCTGATCTCGTCAGATCTCAGAAGTCATGTAGACTTGGCCCTGCTTAGTACTTGTATGGGAGACCAACTAGGAACCTCAGGTGCCGTAAGCTTTTGTTTATTTCTTTTTTAGATTATGATGTCATAATCAGATCACTTTTTTCTCCTAGTCAGAAGCGTCTTGTCTTTTGTCGCAACCAGTGTTTGATATTATACAAACATCAGCGAGATCACTTTCTGCTAATTTTGTCTACGGCCATACCAGTCTGAAAGTGCCTGATCTCGTCAAATCTCAGAAGTAATGCAGACTTGGGCCTGCTTAGTAATTGTATGGGAGACCAACTAGGAACCTCAGGTGCCGTAAGCTTTTATTTATTTCTTTTTTAGATTATGATGTCATAATCAGATCACTTTTTCCCTAGTCAGAAGCATCTTGTCTTTTGTCGCAACCAGTGTTTGATACTATACCAACATCAGCGATATCACTTTTTGCTAATTTTGCCTACGGCCATACCAGTCTGAAATTGCCTGATCTCGTCAGATCTCAGAAGTCATGCAGACTTGGGCCTGCTTAGTACTTGTATGGGAGACCAACTAGGAACCTCAGGTGCCTTAAGCTTTTGTTTTTTTCTTTTTTAGATTATGATGTCATAATCTGATCACTTTTTTCCCTAGTCAGAAGCGTCTTGTCTTTTGTCGCAACCAGTGTTTGATATTATACAAACATCAGCAAGATTACTTCCTGCTAATTTCGCCTACGGCCATACCAGTCTGAAAGTGCCTGATCTCGTCAGATCTCAGAAGTCATGCAGACTTGGGCCTGCTTAGTACTTGCGTGGGAGACCAACTAGGAACCTCAGGTGCTGTAAACTTTTGTTTATTTCTTTTTTAGATTATGATGTCATAATCAGATCACTTTTTTCCCTAGTCAGAAGCGTCTTGTCTTTTGTCGCAACCAGTGTTTGATATTATACCAACATCAGCGAGATCACTTTCTGCTAATTTCTCCTACGGCCATACCAGTCTGAAAGTACCTGATCTCGTCAGATCTCAGAAGTCATGCAGACTTGGGCCTGCTTAGTACATGTTTGGGAGACCAACTAGGAACCTCAGGTGCCGTAAGCTTTTGTTTATTTCTTTTTTAGATTATGATGTCATAATCAGATCACTTTTTTCCCTAGTCAGAAGCGTCTTGTCTTTTGTCGCATCCAGTGTTTGATATTATACCAACATCAGCGAGATCACTTTCTGCTAATTTCGCCTACAGCCATACCTGTCTGAAAGTGCCTGATCTCGTCAGATCTCAGAAGTCATGCAGACTTGGACCTGTTTAGTACTTGTATGGGAGACCAACTAGGAACCTCAGGTGCCGTAAGCTTTTGTTTATTTATTTTTTAGATTATGATGTCATAATCAGATCACTTTTTCCCTAGTCAGAAGCGTCTTGTCTTTTGTCGCAACCAGTGTTTGATATTATACCAGCATCAGCGATATCACTTTTTGCAAATTTCGCCTACGGTCATACCAGTCTGAAAGTGCCTGATCTCGTCAGATCTCAGAAGTTATGCAGACTTGGGCCCGCTTAGTACTTGTATGGGAGACCAACTAGGAACCTCAGGTGCCGTAAGCTTTTGTTTATTTCTTTTTTAGATTATGATGTCATAATCAGATCACTTTTTTCCCTAGTCAGAAGCGTCTTGTCTTTTGTCGCATCCAGTGTTTGATATTATACCAACATCAGCGAGATCACTTTCTGCTAATTTCGCCTACGGCCATACCTGTCTGAAAGTGCCTGATCTTGTAACCGCTGGTGGTTCCCTTATTTACCACTATAATGTCTTAAAGCATAGAACTTAGTAGGGCTAACCATTCATATATCTTAGCCATAATTTTATATAGTGTAAGAGATCCTCTATTTAACATATATAAATAATTGAGAATACAATATAAAATAAGGATTGTCTTGGAAGCAAGATTGTCTTTTTGGATATTTATTATATAAAAATATAAAATCCATTATAGCAGAGTTTATAAGATTAAATTACATGCTTGCAAATATCATTATTAGGTTAACATACCCTTCTGAACATGTCATCATGTCAGCCTCTCTGTCATTTTAAGATGGAGCAGCGTCTGTCTCCAAGTCTCTCCTCTGAGTCTTAACATTTAAAAGTACACCTATTTATACCTTAGGTGTCTCCATTTTAGGTTACTGTAGTTCAAATATGGAAAAGTAACACTTCTTTTACTTTATTCAATTTAGGTCCTCCCTTAATTTGGCAAACATACAAGGCCATAACTAAAGGGTGTATACGTCATGGAAATTTTCCTGACTTAGTTCAAGATGGCATCTTAAAGTCTGAATAGGTTATCTGTTGTTTATACTAAGTCGTAAGTGTACAGTCGCGGGAGATTCCAGGATTTGGGGAAGTTCCATTAACTTGGGGTTACCACAGTATATTGTGTACTGCAAGAGTCGTAGCATAGCCTTGAAGCTTGTTTATGCATTATTGTTATTGTAATTCGTCTGGGACAAAATGGCGCAAACATATTATGCACTGAGGTTATTGCTTAAAGAAACAGTTATGAAAAACAATATGTTCCATTTCTTACACCTTGTCAGTTTGCAATATCTCTTAAAGACAAAGTACACAGTTTAAGAAATACAACATTTCATTCTAAAACTTGTAATATTTGCATTTGCCCGTAACACCCTCTCCATTAAACTGTGGGCATTGTAGGGTATTTCTTCCTTAAATTAGTAAACCAAAGTTCTCCAACTGTCTTTAGATTTTTTATGCTCCCAGCATCTTAGATCATTGTTGTAACAGTAAAATATCCATAGTGTGATCTTTGCCTGTAAAGGTGGTTGATTAAAATGAGCAAAGCTTTTGTCTGGGAAAGAATTGAAAAGAACACCAAGTTCCAGAGTAAGATATTCTTGGATGGATTCGGATGCGAATTGTAATCCAAAATTAAAAGCAGTAATTGTATTTGTAATCCAAAGTCTTTAAAGACCTGTAGAAGTTTACATTCCTTAGATATTGCTGGAGGTTGTGTTTGTAGAATACCGGGTATTTGTTGTAGAGTATTGGTTGTAGAGTCCAGCTTTCCAAGTATTTGGATTGAATTGGTTGCAGATATTGAATCAGCATCATCTGTTATCACCGTGGTGATGGTGTTGGTATTTGACTTTGTCTTTTGTCTTTGCTTTTTATTTTGTTTTTTCCATGAAATTTTTACACCGTTTATGATGTGTATAGATTGGATACTCTCCGATATTCTTTTACGGAATATATTAATTGACAGCATTTCCAAGACATTGTCTTAAGTGACATGGATCCCATTATAGTAAATGTTATGTTGATACAGCAATCGAAGTGAATTCTCAAGAACGCCTCTTTTTGCTGTATTGGAATCTTTGTAACATCTCAGTGATAGACAGCTCAATGACATCAGGTGCTGTTGTGCTAAAAATGTTAACAGGTAAAATCTGTGGAAAAATCTTTACATTTGTTATAGTTTGTATAATAATGATAGATGAAATAGTAACATAGTTAATCTTTCTAGTGTTTTGTTTTAAAGATAAACACCCTTGTATATGATTTAGAGATATAAGGATAATTTGAAGCAGCAAAGTATTTACCACCTTTGTTCACAATGGTATGTAAAATTACATTCTCTTTAAATGTTAAAAATACTCCTTTATTCAAAATCTCTCAATCTATTTAGAATAGTTGATAATTGGAAATATGACGTTAATTATCTTTCTTTGACCTGTTAGGGAGAAGACAACTTATTCCCTAGTTATTATTAGTAAATATAATAACTACAGTTATTAGTGGCTTAAAATACCAGAACCCCCAAATATTGTCTTAGAAAACATTTTTTTTATTTTAACCAAGATCTGAGAGCCATTGAGACCCTGGGGAGATAGCGCAGCTAAGCGGACAAGGGCACATGTAGGAGTGTGGGGATAGATGCAAGGGAGTGACTTGGGTAATGTGTGTGGGAGGGGTTAGGCTCAATATAAGTTAGCGTGGGGGAGGTCTTACCTCAGTGCCACTTGGGATTCGGGCCAGCAAACAGCTTCCTGTCCTCCTGCTCCTGTTTGCCTGGGCCTTTAGTCTTCACAGCTTGAGGTGATGGATGTCGAGGCGATCCTGTCGTCCCTCAGGGCTGCTGCTGCGCTGGATGGTGGCCGGCAACTGAGGGAGCAATTCCAGATCGTTACTGGAGGTATGGCTGCCGGTGTGGGCACCCCCCGTGGCCTACCCTCCCCTGGAGCACCCCCTGTGGTCTCCCCTGCTGCCTCCCATGCGGCCCCTGCCCCTGGGGGCCGCACCAGCACTGGCAGGCGTTCCCGTCCGCCTGCCAGGCTCTCTCCTGATAACACCCCTCGGGCCCGGTTGAGGAGCAGGAGCCCGGGCCCGAGGCATCGCCGGGACCGCGTGGCTGGGGCTCCGGACACGCGGCCTGGGTCCAGTGGCCGGGAGTTGCGGCCTTCCGCGGCTGCACGGGCGGTGCAGTCTGCCCCCTCAAGGCCTGAGGTGAGGCCTTCATCTGCCGCGTGCCCTGCGGCCCGGAGGCCTGGTGCGCGGCCTACCCGGCGGGCTCCACGTGCCCGGCCGGTTCCCCTCCCTCCCGCCCCGGCCGCCAGCATGGGAACGCGGTCCGGGGGCGGTGGGAGGCCTGCAGCTACCTCTGGGCGGCGGGCGGCCGGCAACTTTCCAGATCCCCCCGCGGCCGGCGGGGGCGTGGGGCTGCCGCTGGGGCCCCGGTGGTGAGTGGGGGCACGCGGGGTACCGTGGTACCGCCGCTGGGGGTGCGTGGGGGGTCCCCTTGTATGTCGGGAGCCTCC